TGGAGTCTTCTACTTTGATTTTGCCTTAGGGTTTTGAGAGAGAAGAGAATGGGGGATTAACAGATAAAAATTTAATTGTTTTGAGCCTTTAATTAGTCAAGAAATTCTCTTAGGATTTTCTTAGAGGTAAAAAGACCAAAACGACCCCTTTTTAATGTTTTCCCGTCGGCTAATTCATCAGTGCACTGTATTAGATTACTAAAATAATCATAACATTTTACTCGAAACTCTGATCGACTCGAAATTGGTGGCGTCGGAAAAAATATGCAAATACCTTTAATTTAGTATGTTATGGGTCGCATATCTCTTTATATTCTAAGAGATATGGTCATTTATAGTTGACCCAAGAAAAATCTCACAGTGAAACTCAATTGGAAGGAAAGTTTTCAACTCAACTTTATGCTAAGGAATTTTAGTGACCTTAACATCTAAGAAAATTTAGAATCACTCGGTGAAATCTTATTCACAAATAAAGAATGACTCGAATCTTTCTTAAAATAATTTGGGATGTTACAAGAATGTCCAACGAAGCAACTGGAAACATAAAATCTCAAATCTGGTTAAGAACATCCTCACACCGATTGATTTAGGAATACACACTAGATCCAAGCTAAGGAATATATGCACCTTGGCCGACTATCTTTCACACATAGAGAAAAAAGATATCAAGGTGGAATTTCTAGACGGTGACTGGATCATTGATATGCAAGCAGAACTAAATTAGCTTGGCCTACCACCCTCTATATTAACTCAATCACCTTTATAATGGGTTCTACGAAAATTCGAAAACCCCTTGTAACTAAGCATATCAGAGCCTTTTTTTCAAAATAATTTCATTGTTAATTTGCTTTCTCTAGGTTATAAACAAATCTGAAACCGTTCGGATAAATGCTCTCTTATTATCTCATTCTCTTTTCTTGAAAACTTAATGTATGAGGCCTATTAAGATGTCCACAATTAAAGTATTATTCTTCATCGAAAATTAATTTTTTACTCAAAGTAATTACAAAGAGTACACAAAGAACACCAACATTCAAAGTAATAAAGCTATATCTAAAGTATATGAATTAAAATTAATGAGAATATCTAAAGTAGGCCCAACAATTTCAGAAATTTATAGAAAAACTTAACTAAAGCAAAAAAAATCATTTTTTTACTTTTTCCGAAAATACCCATGCACGTCAATTCTTATATAATAAAAGAATATACACATATTATTATTTCCGATCCAATTTATGTTAAATCAAAATTTCGAAATTCAAATTTATAAACTTTGAGTGTGAATTTTTTTGACACAAATTGATGATTTAATCTTCATACTTTACATCATCTTGGTTCGTGGGAAAATTCTAATATGTTACTAAATGCATACATTTTAAAAAAAACTTTTGAAATTTTATTAAAATGAATCTAAAAAATATTAGAATACTCATATGGGCCTAATGCCCATATCAATTAACAAACAAAACAAATAAATGGGTAGCCCGTTTGGATGGCCTGCGACATACTGCCAAACATTTCCTTAATGCTAAGGTTTCCCATTTCATAATCCGCCTCTCTCTTTCAATCTAATTTCACCCCACACCTAAAAAGATGTTCTTACTTTGGATCAAAAAGAAGTTCCACCTCCTCAACTGATGGATCACCAACATTCATGGCCTTGTGTTCGTATCTTCCTTTCCTCATCTAACAAGAGTAAGTGTAGTTCATCCTGTTTACTTCTGTATGTTTTTACTTCTCGCTTAAATTGCCTCTCTTCGTCTTTGCAGCTGCCTTGTAATTTATGGCGGGTCTTTCCTTTTTTGTGTTGCTTTTTGTATCTTGTCTTCCAAAAGGATACCTCATGTCTAGATTCTTGCTCACCTTTGTTCTCTTCTTCTTCCTTTTCTCCCATATAATTCCCCTATTTCCGCAGATGGTGCTTGATCATAATGCATGAGTAGCTTCAGTCCACCTCTTCAAACTAGTGATGAAGACTCTTTCTAGGTTTAAGAGCTCCCATCTGACCCCAATTCCTCCCTTTTGCCGAGTCCTTTTTGCTGACTGAAGTAGACTAGGTTAGATAGCTCTTCACATTTTGTTAGACTCATGATGCTTTGTAAATGTTGTCTATGTGAAAAACTTATAATGTTGTGGCCTTCCCATTCCCATTATCTTCTAGTTGGTGATATTCTCCAATATGAGCAATTTTATTTGTTAATGTTTATAATCCTTCTCGCTGTTGTATCCATGTTGTTTAAATCCAAAAATATGTAGTTTCCTTTGTCAATAGTCGTGTTTGCTATGTAGTCTGCTAGTTGGTTCCCTTCCATCATTATATGGTGGATTTTATTGTTTTTCTTGAAGATTGTGTTTGATATCATCTACTATGTGTCTTATGGAACAGACATTACTTAAGTTTTTTTTATTTTCCCTCTCTTTTCACTTTTTTCATTCATGAAAAAAGGCTCATCTAAATTCAAGTTTCTTTTGTGCTGTTTCTCTATATCATTCTATAATTTTGTCTATGCATTCAATTTATTCAAACTCATCAGTCTCTATTACTCTGTTTTTACAGTTTCGAGAACTCAAAGCTTTCGATTCTTGATTTTCCGGTAGAAAAAGGTTTTCTTTATTCAAGTTAGTGTTTGTAAAAAGAGTTAATCCTTGTTGTTATTGTGAAGAATGCCTATAAGATACATCAATATTTTTGCATTTTAATTAACTAGTCTTTGGGCACCTATGTTGCACATGTGTGTCACGCCCCGAGCCTACACCCTAGGTGGGACTGGCACTCGAGAACCATTGTTGGCTCCAAACGAACCCTTGGCCTGGCTTAATTACTCAGCGGAAGACTTAAACATAAGAGATAGTCTCAAAATATAACTCATGCAATAACTTAAAGAGATATAAAGCTTAGCCAAAATGGCAACTCAAGTCTTAACGTATACAACTGAAAATGGAAAGACTAAATAACTATAACTACTTGTATATGAAGCCTCTAAAACAAAGAGGGATGTCAGGACAAAACCCCCGATCATCCTAACAACTAAAGTATTAAATCAAATGATAAAAGGGGGGTACTCTGGATAACAAGAAGGCTCACCAACTGACTATGAGTGCTAAACTGGATTAACGAGGCACTGGATGCTGATCCTCGTTACCTGTGTCTACATCATAAAATGATGCAGGCCAAATGGCATCAGTACATTGAATGTACGAGTATGTGAGGGGAATACTAAACAAGACATAAGCTTGAAAGGAATCTGAAAAAAACACTTACCTTAGCTTTACTCAATGCAATAACTCAACTCAAATGCAAAGTAAAGAACAATAATAGTGCAGTTATACAGAGCATTTAAAACAGGAGGTAGCAACTCAATTTGTTAAAGAAATGCAATGACAGCTCATTTTACATATAATGTAATATAATATTGTGGGAATTTCTCTAACCGACAACCACCACTATGAGCCTAAGTGATGATATAGTTATACAAAGCATTTAAAACATAAGGTAGCAACTCAATTTGTTAGAGAAATGCAATAACAACTCAGTTTACATATAATGTAATATAATATTGTGGGAGTTTCTCTAATCGACAACCACCACTATGAGCCTAAGTGATGATACAGTGTCTTACCTATGCTTCCAGAACTGTCTTATACCTGCCGTCATATAGAATGCCTTAATTAAGTGGATCCACTAGTCCATGTTAAAGAGCACTAAAGAATCATCTAAAAAGTATGATCCTTTTCTACCCATGATGGTTACATGGTTTATGGAGACTTGAGTTATTATGAACTCGCGTCGCCATATCGTTGCTCAATACTACTCCCAAAATATACTCAGCTCATATTTTTTTAAAACAAAAACTTGTTCTTTGGTTTGAGATAATTATTCAAAACTTAACTTAAAAGCTCTCTTGGAAATCGGTGTTTCCTTTCTTGCTCAAATGTGAAAATATTTTAACTCTTGGGAATACTTAGTTCCCGTATAATCTTTGAAGAATTGAACTTTACTCTTACTCTTTACTCAACTAAAAGCTTAAGTCTTAAAACAATGTTAAAACGTTTGTAAAAGACTTTTTGGAAAACTCTATGAACTTCTCTTGACTTAACTCTTAACCTCTTGACTTGACTCTTAACTTTCCTTGAATTGAATTATGGATTCAAGGTTCATGATCTCATGTTTATGGATGATTTCATGATGTTTAGAAGTACCTTAGAGTATAGAAATCGACTAGAAAACACAGGTACGTTGCTAAGGAACTAGTACTACAAGAAAAGTCCTGATTACCCGGGGATTTTCATAGGGATAATACAATAAAATCCCAAAGTAATTTGGTTATCTGCGGATTTTCTTGCCAATCGAAATCCGATGGAAAAACCTTCCTAGGTAACTATTACTTGCGGATTACAAAATCCCTAGGTAAGTTAGTTGCGGAAATAAATCCGTATGTACCTTATTTGCGAATTTATCTACGATTAGCTATCAAATATTCGCAAGATTTTTTTGGTAAAATTTCATACGCAATGTAATTTACCTGTGGATTATCATATAAAATTTTGCAAGTTATTCCCCATGAAGATCCCCAAGTAAATTCGTAGGATGTTTGGATATTATAATTCCTAATTAATAAAATAAAATTTCTTGCGGATATTTATGAAACAATTTGGCAAGAAATTTTTTATGAAATACCCAAGTAAATCCGCAAGAAGAAATTCTCACAAAAAAAATTCATGAATATTTATGATGTAAATCCCCCATGTAAAGTTCCCAAATAATAATTCACATTCAAACCGCTAGATAAATTTCACAATTAAACAAAAAACTATTCGAAACCTCCAATAATTCTCAAAATCATCATTCAAAATAAAATCATTCCAACTAACAAAAAACATAATTCAAATCATCATTCAAAATAAAATCATTCCAACTAACAAAAAACATAATTCAAATCATCATTCAAAATAAAATCATTCCAACTAACAAAAAACATAATTCATAACATCCATGTCAATAATGTATGATTCTTAAATGGTCCGAAATAAAATATTTCAAATTTGAATCCTCACTAGAACTACCAACCATCTCAATCATAATTATGATCACTTCCATTCACGTTATCAGGGTTAGAATCTCTTTCATTCATGCTATTAGAGTCATCATCACTTTCATTCTCATAAGCTTGGTTATCTTCTTGAGATGATCGCTCAGTTGAAAGTGATTTCTTGTATACATGCTTGATCAACAAGTCTAATTCCTTTCTCATCTTCTTATTTTTGTGCCGCTCATTCTGCAACTGAGCATACAAATCAGCATTTGAAGCATTTATCTGTGACTTAATCATCTCATCAATATCTTCAGGCAAAGCTGATGTTGATTGCTTCGATGTCTTTACAGTTCGACCTAGAGATCCAAGACCTTTGACTCTTCCTTTTTTCTTTCCACCAGCAGATTGCACCCATATATTCATTTCACTTAGTTGAGAAGGTTGACTAGCTTCTCCCTCCCCATCTAATGCATTTTGAGCAGCTAATATTTCTTGTTTCTTTCTTTCAAATTCTAGTTGCATAAGGATATAATGTCTTCGACCATGTATCGTGTCATTAGAAAATATATATCATTAGCAAAATATATTGGATTCTAACATCAAATGTAAGCACAACAATAAAAACTGAGAAATGGTAACTCTAATGAAAATTTTAATTTATGTAAATGATATCATCATCTTCACAACTAGTAACTCAACCTCTGCTAAAATGATGGAAAGCATATTTCAAGTCAGCTTTATAATTAAATGATAGAATGAGACAGAGAATAGAAATAAATTTCATATATACAGAAAGATTTATAGCAGACAAATCAAACAAAGAAAACAAACTTTTGATCTCACTCGATTGAAGCTAATTGTCTTAACTAAGCTTTCAAAATGCAAAAAAAAATGAATGTTGAATTCAATTGATCTAAAACACATCGAGTTGCAGAGATAAAACAACCTAAACAACTTGAATGTAAACAAACTCGAGCTGAAGCTAAATGTTTTAACTAAATTTAAAACGTAGAAATTGAATGTCTTAACTTATCAAGGTACACACATTCTTATTTCTGGAATTTTTTTCTAAAGATTAGTCCTATCAAGTTTTTGGATCCTTTTTTTCTAAGATATTAGCAAGCATGTATAAAGTTGTCATTTTCTATTTTACACTACTTATTTGTTCATTGCAAAAATAAGAAGTTCGGAAAAAACTTAGCAATATTTTCCTAATCAAATTTTTTAAGCTTATAAACAATTTTCCTTTGGTAGGCTTAACTTTATTCTTTAAGTATAACCCTGAGAACCTTTTGTTCTTTAAATTTGTAAAACTTGTGCTTTTTAGTTTAGTTAATTGAGAACTCCACCCCTAATTACTATCCATTTTCGATCTGGAAGAAGTCTATTTACCATCCATTTTCGATGCTCGGGAATTTTCATTTTCTGAAGCAAAAGGTAAATATATTTAAACATACTAGATTTTCGACACATGCATTGCACGTGATTATCAATTCAGAAAATTTAAGCGGAGATTTGAATAATAAGCTTTGCACAAAATAATATTGCAGATTTTTTTGTGAATATTCAACGTGGATCGTCATATATATTTCTTATTCACACGAACATATGAAGATGGTCAATGAAAAATTTATTAGTTAAATGCAATAATGTATATATTTATTTCAATTTGATGAGGTTCAATTATGTAATTAGTCGTATCTCAATAATACTATCTTATAGACGATATTTGTTGTGTATTTTTCTTGTCATCTAACTAGATGTGCGTTGCACGTGTATTCCACTTAATCTAGTTAGATGTCATATGAACATGTGGAGACCAAGTACATTTCATTTTTTAGAACTATTTTTGTATATTAATTTTTATTTTATAAGTTATAACATAATAGATGACGTTCTTTTAGTTGTCTCTCATATTTGACTTCTTGATTGTTTGTGCCCATAAATCAAAGATAGTTATTTGACTGCACATAGTTAACTGAGAAATGTTTCCTTTTTTTTTACTGAAAAAACTAAAAATTAAAATTAAAGAATATATTCTATTTGTGAAATCATATATATAATCACCTGTTTATCTTACACCCAACAAATATATAGTTCATATACTTGTAAACAATTTTCTATTTATTTAACCAAGCATGATTCGTCCAAGGAAAAATAACAACAACGTGTTATCACATAATAGGAGCGGTATAATAATGTGAAAAATTATTGGTCAAAAGTTAATATAAAGAAAGATGAAAGATAGAAATAATTAATGTAATAACTATGAGAATTCATAATATTTTAACTAAAGAATGTAAAAAAATGTGAATAACATTTGCGATAATTAGTAATAACTAAAAGAATTTATAATGTTATAACTAAAGAATTAATGTGCAATAGATGAGCATTATTAGAAGTCATATGAACTTTTCTTCGTCGAAAATACTGAAATATTAAGAAACAGTAAATTAATAAAACGAAAGGGCAATGTTTACATAGTAATAATTATTTTTAACTTCATGATAATCTAAATCACATAAGTAGCATTGATCAATAAAGTCATTCTTTTGTCTTGAACATCAAAAAAACAAATCGTGATAATTCTCTAACTCATAAGAAGTTTACTAATTTTGGAAAAAGATATTGAGAAACATATATCTACATCACAAGAGAAATTGTTAACAAAAACAAATGAATTTAGACTACAGTAAAAGTTAAACTAATACAAACTTCCACTGGTGTTATTACAAGTCATATAAAATTTTCTTCTTCGAAAATACTGAAATATTAAGAAACAGTAAATTAATAAAACGAAAGGGCAATGTTTACATAGTAATAATTATTTTTAACTTCATGATAATCTAAATCACATAAGTAACATTGATAAATAAATTCATTTTTTTTTGTCTTGGACATCAAAAAAGCAAATCGTGACAATTCTCTAACTCTTGAGAAGTTTAATAATTTTGGAAAAAGATATTCAGAAACATATATCTACATCACAAGAGAAATTGTTAACAAAAACAAATGAATTTAGACTACAATAAAA